TGATGTTTGTGGAGTTGTATCTCTTAACTTAGTTGGGTGAATTTGGGAAAATTATGGTAGTAATCGGGTTACAACATGTTTAATTGGGGGTTCCGGTGAATGATGCGGACAAAGTGTTTGTTTAAATACCTCAATGAGTGTCAATGGTAGTTGTGACAAATTGTGCGGGTGAAGTCTGAGTAACCGCAATTGAGTCACACCTTTTGTGATGTGCTAATGCTATTCTTCTTGTAGGTACTATGGCACCCTCCAGGAAACGCCAAGCCACCGGTGCTTCATCCAGTGGGCAAGCTGGATCTTCCAGGGCACGCGGGGTCAGCTCCTACTCATCCTTTTGATAGTAACAGGTTCGTCTCCGCCAAGGCTCAACATCGTTTTGCTGATAAGGCCTCCAAGAAACTAATACCGGAGAGGGGCATAGATATAGGGTCGCTCCAACTAGGCTGTCCCAACTCGTATAATGAGTTGGTCAGGCGTGGGCTACAAATCTTCTTTGAAGAACTAGATGAGGGGAATGTAATGGTTGTATGTGAATTCTATGCCAATGTTAAAGAACACGTGGATGGTGTAGTAACAGTGCGCAAGAAGGCTGTGGATGCCTCTATTGAGGCTATTCGGAGGATATACCAGCTACCCGCACCGGTGGAGGAATTGGACGACTATTATGAACTGTATGGCAAAAAATACACTCAGTGGGAAAGATTCTTTGAAACTATATGTGTACCCGGCAAGGAGATTGTGTGGATGAAATATGGGAAGAAGTTCCATTCAGCGGCACTCACCTTAGAAGGGAAGTGCTAGCTGTATGTCATCAAGAACCGCCTGCTCCCGTCCTCCAACACCACGGATGTGAATGCTCCTCGAGCTGCTTTAATTTGGTGCTTTATAAATGGTCACAACTTTGGCCAAGCTTATGCACGAGGAGATGTTTACACGATGTCTAGTGAAGAGGTATGGTTTATTTTTCCCCTCACTAGTCACTAGGCTTTGCAGGGCAGCTCGGGTGCCAGAAAATTTGAATGTGGATGGAATAGTGTCGAGAGAAGGAAAGTTTTGAGCTGACAAGGTGACTACTGGGAAGGAGCCGGTGGCACCTAGTGGTGATGATAGTGATTACTCAGATGCATCTGAGGACGGCGAGGATGAGCAGGAGGAAGCGGAAGCCGATCCGCCCGCCCATGCGCCAGTTGCAGAAGCTGTAGGACCATCTGGAGTTGGTCAAGTTGCCCGATTAACAGCTTTAGAGCGGGAGGGGGTAGGGTTGCGTACCTCGATCGATGAATTAATTACACGTATTGATGCGGTGGCCTCCCAGCAGGTTAAATCTAAGAAGAAAATATTGAGCTAGCTGCGAGCTCTGGGTCGTGCATGTCATCTAGACCCGGGGACGATCTCCGATCAAGATTGATCCATGAGGGAAGTTCCTTTACCTCACTATTCTTTATTTTGTATGCCATGATAACATGTCTTCTTTTCAAGTGTGGGGTGGGGGATACTTCAGTGTATGTGTATATATGTAAGAACTTGATTGTTTTATTTTTTCTTTGTTTTTGTAGTTTTGAGTAGCAGTCGCATTAGGTAAGTCAACTTATCCCGACGACTGATCTCTTTCGATGAGGTTCTTGAGGGTCTAAGTCGATGAGAAAATCTCAAAAACAAAAACCAGAAATATGTTGGACTTTTCCTGATAACAGATCTTTTAGACAGTTTTCTTGAGGGAAGTAAGTCTAAAGAAAATAACATTTTTAGGTAATGTAGTAACTCCCTCTTGGTTTTTCTTTGGGCCGCGGTTCTTTTCCAAGGGTTTTTCTTGAACCGGGTGTAGTTAGTTTTTGTTTATTTTGTTTCTAGTTTTTAGTTTGTACTTATGGGCGATGAGCTGAAATAGGAAGAGAAGCCCTCGGTGTTGATACACCTGAACACAGTAGACACTAGAGTGTGACATTTAGTCTTAGTGGTTAATTCTTGTTAGAGTGCCTTAAATTGTATGTTTGTAACTGACTTGAGTACTCAAACGAGAGTGTCTTGATAAGCCAATCTGGAGTGAGTCATGTGCCATGTGTGTATGAGTTGTATTGTATTCTATGCTCTGTATTTGATGCCTAGAACTTGCCATGTGTGTTTGCAAAGCGAAATAGTAGTTTTATTCAGTCTTAGAAGTGATATAGACATTTCTTTGTTAAGCCAGATATTGAAGTAGACCCACCTAAATGTGATACATCGTAGTTAACTTCATTGAGCCTATAAGACTGTTTCTTTGGCAACCACATTACAAACCATACCCAATTATTTGAACGACCCATTGTTAGAACCCCTTTACCTCCCAAGAGCACTTGAATGGTTATGAAATATACAAAAGTTAAAGTGTGGGGGTGGTGGTTTGGTTTTTGAGTGAAACCAATGAAATAGAGAAAAAGATGCAGTATTTTGAAAAATAAAAGAATAAGAGACACTTTAAAAAAAGGAAAAAAAAGGAGAAAAGAAAATAAGTAAATGTAGTCCTTGATAAGTGATGACTTGATACAATTGCACCTAATGGAGTTTGGGATATTATAAATAGAAGTGTGGTGGAATGTCTAGTCTGACATAAGTATGGTTCTGAATGCGAAGGTTATTGTATTAAAAGTACTTAGGGAGGTTAGTCACTATATCCAAATATATCCTACCCGTCCCTTAGCCTACATTACAACCAAATAAAGTCCTAATTGATCTTAGACTGAAAGGGCTCGATTAGTAGAGTAGTACACTAAGGGCAACCCTATGGTGCATCTGTGTGGTATATGAATTTTCTTTCTGAGAGTGAGCGAATTTTCTCTATCTAAGTTCCTAATTGTTCTTAATATTATTATTTGTGGAACTACTCTCTTGTGTGATGTGAGGGCATTTGATTCATGAAGGAAAGGTAAGTCTTGACCTCTGTATAGAGTAATTTGAGTAAGTATGAATATTGCACGACATGCGAGAGTCGACTCTTGAGGCAAATATGTTAACACTACTAGATGTAACTTTGGTGATTTGTTCTTGGTGTGATACGTTAGGGAAAAGCTCAGTGAAGGAACCTTTATAGAGTATGGTGGATTGCTCGGGGACTAGAAATAATTTAAGTGTGGGGTATTGATAATAGGCTAGATTCATGTAGTTTGGCGACTATTTATGCCCCAACTTGACTATGCTTCACCGTTCTAGGAAGTTTAAATGACGATAAAATAGCTCTAATTGTGAATTTCATGTTCTGCAGGAGCGAGTTTTGCTTATGAGGACTTAGGACAGTGTTTGGAGCTAAATTAAAGCAAGGGAAGCCTCTCGGAGCTGAGTACGTGTGAAAGAAGAAAGAAAAAAGAGAGAAAATGCCGATTCACTCTAGCGCGGGCCAACCGCGGCCTTAGCGCGACCGCGCTAGAGCGGGAAAATGGGACAGTATACTATGCGATATGCGCGGCCACTTGCGCGGTTTGAGCACGGCCGCGCTAGTCAATCTGGAGCACAGGAAGTGCATGGGTAACTTGAAAGTTTGGGGGTAATTCCACTTAATCTATAAGAGGTTCAGCTCTCCCAAAAAGACATTATCAAGGTTTTAATAGCTTTGTTGAAGTCAAGAAGAGGCAAGAGGCAAGGAGGATAATTCGACATCGAGTTATACCGTTCTTCCTTTTGTATTTATTATTCATGATGAATTTTGCTATTGTTATTATGAACACGATTATGAGTAGCTAATTATTTAGTCTACGGTTTTGATGGAACCTATTGAGGGATGAACTTCTTGTTGTGTTAATATAGTTTGCCCAGTTTAATCTCTATTTGTTCAACTACGTTCTTGTTGTAGTTAATTGATAGGATCCTCAATTAGTTGTGCCTATTTAATATGTATTACTCGGTAGAGAGTGCATATTTAGGTAGTTGTTGAACAACACCACTCCCAAAGTATATGATGAATCAATAACCAAGGGTTTAAAGGTGGTATTAGGGATAACGAAACCTTGGGTGCGATCTAAGTGAGCTTTAAGAAAAGCCAACTAGTGTAACTCGGGAGAGTACGTTTAGTAAATTGTCGTAATTACTCGGGAGAGATTTACGGTAGTAAGAGTGCTCATGACTGATAGAGACGATTAGGCAAATCTATGCGAAACATAACAGGAATGGATTCCATCAATAGGGGAAATCACAACCTTAGATCTTTCTCTTATTTGTTTACAACTCAGTCATAGTTAGCTTTTAGTTTACTTAATTTTATTAAGTTATAGTCAGTAGAATTATCACCAAGTGTTATTCAAAATATCTGGAAAGTTGATTACAGAGAATTCAGTGAGTCTGATAAAAGTAATTGATAGGTTAATTCCCCGTGGGATTCGACTCTAGGCTAAATACTCGGATTATATTTGCAACGATCACTTGTCCTTTTTATAAGGCATAGTTCGGCGTGATCAGTGCCCCAACATCAGGATCTACAAAGCCAACCATATCATCTCACAACTACACCATGGCTAACTACTACAACCACAAAGTTAAGGATAGAAATTTAATTGATCAAGTTTCCTAGCTAATCTTGCATGCATTGTTCCTCTACAACATATCTCTTGGATAATCTGTTTCATAATATGCTTCGAATCCATTATTATTGTCTTAATTTAGGGAATTCTTTGCTTGGAAAATGGCGTAACTCAACGGAACAAAGTTCAAATTGTCTTTCCATCTAAATAAGACTCCTTCAAGTTGTGTGTTACCTATTTTAAGCCATAATCTTCTCTCTCTTTGTCGTAATTACCTATCTTAAGAAAAGAATAACGTATGGTACAACAGTGTATAAATTAAAAACAAATTGAATAAAAAATTTGATATATCTACAATAACATACATACTAAAATAAATTTCATTCAACTAAGTATACAGTATACAACTTATTTACAACTTATCTACAACTTCTATACATCTTACACAGTTAAATACAACTACAACATCATACAACTTAAATATAATTTTCGTATAAATTTTATACAATATATATTTTGTGTATTGTGTGGTCTTCGGCTTCTTATTCGAATTTCAATTTGAAAATCCAACCAAATCAAATCTAATCTTCACCAAATACCCTCAAAATCGAGATATAAACTCCATAAAATGTTCTCAAACGTTTACAATGACACCCAATCCAAACAAAAAATAGTTTTTGAAAATTCGAATTCAAATTTATATCTTCAATTTTTTTTTATGGTTGTCAATAATGGAGAGTCAAATACCTTTAAAATATATTGATTGGCAATTTTAATTCAAACAATCCAGCCAAATAATTTGTGACTATTGTAGTATAGGTTGGTAAAAATCGCTTAAAAAATTAACTAAAATAGCCACTTGCCCGAAAAGAGTAATCGGCACGTATATAATATAGAAATTACATAGTTATAATGTTGCAGCCTTCAAGTTCAAGGGCAGAAGACAACCCTGTAATTAGTAGCAGAAGGACAGGTAGACAAACTGGTTGGCTCATCCAGTGGATAGCTATAAGCATCTGGGCATCTTTCCTTGAAAAATTTCGAGAAATCAGTAGGCCCACATGATCCAGGCCCATTTGTGCAACAATATTCATTGGTTTTGAACACAGTACATGGGTCGTTACAGCCTCCAGGAATCCTTAGTTCATTCGGACACTGTCCTATGATGTCGGCAGTGCAGCTGATTCTAACAGAACAATTACCAGATGTTGGACTAAATTCCATAGGAACATTGAAACCGTCTACAAGAGATATGTCCAAGAAATCAAGATTGTTACTATTATCTAAGTTGAATTCAGCCAAAGTGGCTGGGACTGTGCCAAAAGCTTGACATTCGAGGACTCCATTGCAATCGCCGGTTTGACATTGACCACGGCCAGATGCGTCAAAATTGCAATTGGTTCGACCCCAGATACGATTTCCATTTTGACCGCTTTTAGGTTGGAGTGACCATTTTCCACCATAGTCGAGACGTCGGCCGCCACCAGGAATTGCTGCTGCCCATACGGTAAAAGGGCAGTTGTTTCGGATGTCGATCGTTGTAACTGCTTGTGTTGAGAAAAGCTGATAAGCCACAACAGAGAGGAATGTGAAGAAGCTGATCATCTTTACTTTGGGAGGGTTATGAAAAACAAAGATGGAGAGGGATTTTTAATGGAGGAATAGTCAATGGAGCTCATTGGTCAATAAATGGTGCTAAACTTGTCCTAGGGAGGAAGACTAGGAGCCCGTTTGTTTTGACCTACAAAAGTAACTTTTAAGTATTGGAGTTGGTTTTATAAATAAGCAGTCATGTGTTTAGATAAAAGTATTGGAGCTGAAAAAAACTGTTGAAATATTTAGTAAACAAGTGTTGGTAAACACTTTTTTAATTAAAATAACTGAAATATCTTTAAAGTTGTTAACACTATAAAGAAGCTTATTACTATAATATTTTATTTTAAACTTATTAATATAAATATGAAATAATTAATATTTGAACTGATCACCTAAAATAAGACTCAATCTGAATTGTATGATTATTGATATAAAAAAAATAGTATGAAATGAAAAGAAAACATTTGGGAAATATTTTAGATAATCCCAGCTAGATGAGTGGCGGTGGACAAAAAAAATGAAGTAAAAACTCAAAATATGAATCAAATCAAGTGTTACCAACTAGAAATAAAAAGAGCAAATGAAGAAATACAAGGGAGGAAGTCGAAGGAATAGAGAACGGGAAAGAATAGAGTTAAATTGGGATTTTGTTGTGAAGGACATTTTTGAAATAATAAATATTATTAGGGATAAGAGGGTAAAATACTTGGTCAAAGATAGTTGGCTTTTAAGCTAAAATAAAAAAGTTGGGATCAGCCAACTTATGGCTTTTGGCTTTTTTAAGCCAATTTTAACCTTTTTAAAGTTGTTTTCTTTTTTGCCAAACACTCTCAATATCTAAAAATGGCTTAAAAGCTGGTCAAATCAGCTTTTAAGCCAATCCAAACAGGCTTTAGACTTTTTGACTTCAGTACCGGAAAATTTTTAATTACCAAAATAATCAGATTTACAACTGTTAATTGAAAAATAGTCACAGTTTCAAAAGTAGTCAAAATTTAGATATTTTTTCATGTAAAGATAAAATCTTAATAAAAACACCCTTAAACATCCAAAAAGTTCCAGCAATTATGTTGAAGTTCGAATTTTTTATATATGAAATTCCAGCATAATGTGTTGGAATTTCATAATGTGCTGAGATCCAACATAATATGCCGCAAGTTTATACGTAAGAACTCCATAATCTAGACGCTTCCCATGATTCACCATGGTCAGAAATGGTGATGATGGCAAATATTCCCTCGTCCGATGTCGAGCCTAGGCTCTGATATCAACTGTTACGCAACGCCTTCCTGATGTTCTTTGGAAGGGCAACGTAAGGCTAGGCAACCGATGTCAGTGCGGTTGTTGTCCGCCAATGAGGTCCCCTCCGCACGCTAGACTAGATTGTCAGTGCCGTGCGGGAAAACCAATGTCATGAGCAATTGCGGAAGCTGAGAGAGAATTGGGTTTTGAATGATGATGATGATTTTATTGATGAATGAAAATGTTGATTACAACGATGCGGTGTCGATGGGGAGAGACACCAGAAAATGCTTGCTTGAAATGTTTGATTGTTTGGTCCCCCTTAATAAT